TTTTAAATATATTTCTTTATTGATTTCAGAGAGGAAGGGAGAGGAGAGAGAGATAGAAACATCAATGATGAGAGAGAATCATTGATTGGCTGCCTCCTGCACACCCCCTACTGGGGATCGAGCCTGCAACCCGGGCATGTGCCCCTGGCCGGGATCGAACCCGGGGCCCTTCAGTCCGCAGGCTGACGCTCTATCCACTGAGCCAAGCCAGCCAGGGCAAAAAAAATATATATATATTTTAAAAAGCCTTGGCAAATACAATGGAGTTTAAAGGGGACAGGGAGAAGCACGCTGGCATCTCACCATGGCTGGGACACTCACGGTTATTTCTTGGGACCCATTCACAGAGGGGGGATTGTCCCAGCTCTAAGCCGGTGACGGTGGGTGACAAGTGACCTCCGATAAGGCTGCACCAGTCGGCTCCCCTGCCAGGACCTGGTCGCTGCGGCCGGGTTGGCAGCCTGTTCCCTGTGCCCAGATCTTGCAGGCCTATTGCTTCATCCTGGAGAAGCTGCTGGAGAACGAGGAGACGCAGATCAACGGCTTCTGCATCGTGGAGAACTTCCGGGGCTTCACGCTGCAGCAGGCTGCGGGGCTGCGGGCCGCCGACCTCAGGAAGATGGTGGACATGCTCCAGGTGAGGCCTCTGCGCAGGCCCGTGGGGGTGGTGGGGGGACCCCAGCACAGGGCGGGAGGCGGGGAGGCCGGCCCGGTGTCCTGGTTTAATGGTGCTGGCAGGGAGCTGAGAATGGGCCACAAAGGGCAACGCCAACCACAGACACTTGTGTGGTGATCGACAGTGGGCCAGGGATTCACGTTCATTAACTCATCTACCCGGAGAGAGCATCCTCTCGCTGCTTCCTGCTTCATTTTTTCCACATTTTTAATTTTTATTTTTTAAATTTTTATCTATTTTTTTAATCCTCATCTGAGGATATTTTCCCATTGATTCTTAGAGAGAGCGTGGAAGAGAGAGGGAGAGACCGAGAGAAACATCGATGTGAGAGAGACACATCAATTGGTTGCCCCCTGCACATGTCCTTGACCAGGGCCCAAGCCGGGGAGGAGCCTACAACCGAGGTACATGCCCTTGACCGGAATCGAACCCGGGACATCTTTGGTCCACAGGCTGACGCTCTATCCACTGAACCACACCGGCCAGGGAGTTCCTGCTTCATTTTTAAAACCTGGAAAACGAGGCTCAGAGATTTGTGTGACTTCTCAAGGTCACAAAACTCTATAGTGGCAGAAGCCGGACTTGAACTTACACCTTCTGACCCCAAATCCCACTGTGTCTGCATATGTCTCTTTGAATGTGAATTTATCCCGAGAGAGGATATCACTAACACCCATGACACTCACTCCTATAAGTGTCATGAGTCCTTTTTTAAAAAAATATATTTTGTATTGATTTCAGAGAGGAAGTGAGAGGGAGAGATAGAAGCATAAATGATGAGAGAGAATCATTGATCAGCTGCCTCCTGCACGCCCTGCACGCCCTGCACGCCCTGCACGCCCTGCACTGGAGATTGAGCCCGAAACCCGGGCACATGGCCTGACCGGGAATCGAACCATGACCTCCTGGTTCCTAGGTCGACACTCAACCACTGAGCCATGCTGGCGGGGCCATGAGTCCTTCCTTAGAGCTCATCTTAAAGTCTGCTGTCTGTGCACCTGGGGAAGGAAGGCGGGGATGGGTGGGGGACAGTGAGCATGACAGAGATGTCCCTGTGGTCTATGATAGTTTGCAGTCACTCAGCAGGCAAGTGGGTTTGAAAAGCCCGGTCCCCTACAAACCCAGCGAGGCTACCATTTCATTTCTTCACTCCACCGAACCCCGAGGTTTCATGCAGCATCTGGGAGAGGGCTGGGCTGCATGGCCTCTGGGGCTTCCTGTGTGTGTGTGTGTATGTGTGTGTGTGTGTGTGTGTGTGTGTGTGTGTGTGTGTGTGAAGCCAAGGCTCCCCAGTTGGTGGCCTGGGGCTGGAACCTTCAGGGGGCTGTCCCCGTGCCTTGGGGAGGGAGAGGGAGTGGGGGAGTAAGTGGGGACCTGAGGCCATCGCAGCTGCGGTGTGGGGCGCGCCCTGTCCCAGCAGGACTCCTTCCCAGCCCGGTTCAAGGCCATCCACTTCATCCACCAGCCCTGGTACTTCACCACCACCTACAACGTGGTGAGGCCCTTCCTGAAGAGCAAGCTGCTCCAGAGGGTGAGTGGCAGCTGGCCGCGCAGGGGCGGGGCGAGCAGGGGCGCTGCACAGCGATTGGCTGATGAGTGGGTGAGAGAATGGGGCTTCTTATTTTATTTTGTTAATCCTCACCCGACGATATTTTCCCATTGATTTTTATTTTTTTAAAAAATATATTTTTATTGATTTCAGAGAGTAAGAGAGAGAGAGAGAGAGAGAGAGAAACATCAGGGATGAGAGAGAACCATTGATTGGCTGCCTCCTGCATGCCCCACACTGGGGATGGAGCCCACAACCCAGGCATGTGCCCTTGACTGGAATCAAACCTCGATCTCCTGGTTCATAGGTCGATGCTCAACCACGGAGCCATGCCAGCCGGGGCAATGTGTTTGGTGTTTTTAATTTTATTTTTATTGATTTCAGAGAGGAATGGGGAGGGAGAGATAGAAACATCAATGATGAGAGCGATTCATTGATCGGCTGCCTCCTGCACGTCCCCTTCTGGAGATCGAGTCCACAACCTGGGCATGTGCCCTTGACCGGAATCGAACCTGGGACCCTTCAGTCCACAGCCCGACGCTCTATCCACTGAGCCACACTGGCCAGGGCTGTTTGGTGACTTTTGATGAGGGCATCCTAGGGCCCCCCAGCTCAGCTCTGTGTCTGCTTTCCTGCAGGTCTTTGTCCACGGAGATGACCTCTCCGGCTTCTTCCAGGAGGTCGACAAGGACATCCTGCCCACTGACTTTGGGGGCACCCTGCCCAAGTACGACGGCAAGGTGGTGGCTGAGCAGCTCTTCGGCCCGCGGGCTCACGCCGAGAGCACGGCCTTCTGAGGACACTCCTGCCTTCCGACCCCTAGTTAGCATCCCTGGGCCTTTCCCCAGTGCCCCGGACCCAGAGGCTGGGAAAAGGGCAGCCTGGGGGGGCTGGGGTCTCTGACCCTCCCTGAGCTTGGGTGAGCTCAGGCGTCACCCTCCTCCTAAGTCCGGGGGCAACAAACCAGGGGGAATTCGCTTGAACAAGAAGAATTGGGGGCCCTAGCCGGTTCGGCTCAGTGGTTAGAGTGTCAGCCTGCAGATAGAAGGATCCCGGGTTCGATTCCGGTCAAGGGCATGTACCTCGGTTGCAGGCTCCTCCCCAGCCTGGGCCCTGGTCGGGGTGCATGCAGGAGGCAACCCATCGATGTGTTTCTCTCACATCGATGTTTCTCTCTGACTTTCCCTCTCTCTTCCACTCTCCCTAAAAGTCAATGGGAAAATATCCTCAGGTGAGGAATAATAATAATAGTAATAATAATAAATACATATCTTGTTTAAAAAAAGACGACGATGATGATTTGGGGACAATTACATTCTTACTGTCTTTGAAGCTTTGGGATAATGGCGTGTGTGAGGTTGTTTCCAGGACTCTACGCTTCATAATGATTTCCTCTGTGGAAAATCAATAAAATATATTTTTAAAAAAATTTAAAAAAATAAATAAAAAAAGACGACGATGATGACTTGGGGACAATTACATTCTTACTGTCTTTGAAGCTTTGGGATAATGGCGTGTGTGAGGTTGTTTCCAAGACTCTACGCTTCATAATGATTTCCTTCGCAAGAGAGTTTTGCTACTTAAGAGCCGTGAAAACAGGCCAGGAGGGGGTAGAAGTGCGAGTGATCTGGGGGCACCGGAACCTGGGCAGCCAGCAGGCAGTGAGGGCTTCCACGTGGGGGCAGGCTTGCAGCCGCTCCATTTTGGGGTGGCCTGCTCCCCTCAGTCAGGTGCGGGCTGGTGCGGGCAGCGATGGCCAGTTGTGTCCCCCTCCTCCTGTCTGTGGGGTCTCTCCAGCAAAAGCTGCCGAAAAAGAGCAGAGCTACTCTATAGCCTCATCCTGAGGGATTTCCTACAACAGCTGGAGCTGAGGCGGCCAGGAGCTGACAAGTGAGTTTGCTGACTGTGGGCGGGCACCGCCCCCTGCTGGCCATGCCCTGGTACTGCCCCTCCCCGCTCAGAGACCAGCTGAGCAGGAAAGAGGCGGGCGGGCTGGGCCAGACCTTCCCTGTCCCCTTTGGGAGAATGTGTCCCAAGACCATGAATGTTTTTTTAAAAAAATATATTTTATTGATTTTTTACAGAGAGGAAGAGAGAGGGATAGAGAGTTAGAAACATCGATGAGAGAGAAACATCGATCAGCTGCCTCTTGCACACCCCCTACTGGGGATGTGCCCGCCACCAAGGTACATGCCCTTGATGGGAATCGAACCTGGGACCTTTCAGTCCGAAGGCTGACGCTCTATCCACTGAGCCAAACCGGTTGGGGGGACCATGAATGTTAATGTTAAATCTGACATGCTCAGCCTCGCAAAATCCCAGCTGCCTCCACGCTGGGTGCCTACAAGTGGCCACCATCACCGTAATAGTAAGGGAGGAAGCGGGGCCCAGCCGGCGTGGCTCAGTGGTTGAGCATCGACCGGTCTATGAACCAGGAGGTCAGGGTTTGATTCCCGGTCAGGGCACATGCCTGGGTTGAGGGCTCCGTCCCCAGTGGGGGGCGTGCGGGAGGCAGCTGATGGATGATTCTCATCACTGATGTTTCTCTCTCTCCCTCTCTGAAATCAACAAAAATATATTTTAAAAAGAGAGGCAGAGGGACAATAAGATAGCCTTTTGAAAGCCACCCACACAACCTGACTTCAATGACAACTACTTGCTGTGCAGGACCGCTTCCTTGCTGGAGACACGTGGATGAAGCAGGGATTCATCTCTGCCACCCCACGTGGGCCTCGGGGGAGGCTGGGTTAGCTGATGGAGGCAGCTGGTTAAGGCGGGTGGAGGTCTCAGCAGGGAAATGGGCCGCCAGGTTCTGCCTGGCCAAGAGGCGAGACCACTCTGCATGCAGGCTCCCGGAGCATGGCGAGCTCTCCTGGCTGTGCCAGTGCCTGGCCCGGGGGGTGGGGGGCGCTGGGCTTGGATTCAGACAGATACCAAGGAGAAGAGACCACCACGATCGCCCAACCAACCCAAGACAATCCCAATTCAGGTCCTGTCCGCCCACTCTGTTCAGAGAACCCCACGGGAAAAGCACATGAATCAGCCATGGTAACCCCCACTTACCTCGCACCTCACATTTTGCCCACACGGTTCGCTGTGCTGATGAAAGCGCTGATTACTCCCTTATCTCAGGCCTTGGCTTTCTTGCCTGGAGAGACGGGCTTGTAAAGACACCTTGGGCTGGTCATTCCCCCGAATCTGCAAGGCTGGGTTAAAAACAGTCGTCATGAGCCCTGGCTGGTTTGGCTCAGTGGATAGAGCGCCGGCCTGGGGACTGAAAGGTCCCAGGTTCGATCCTTAGCAAGGGCACATGCCTGGGTTGGGGGCTCGATCCCCAGTGGGGGGCGTAGAGGAGGCAGCCAATCAATGATTCTCTCTCATCATTGATGTTTCTCTCTCTCTCCCTTCCTCTCTGAAATAAAAATATATGCATTTTAAAAGACCAGTCATCACAAGAACTTGGTGTTTGGCCCATTTCCTTCAAGCTCACGCTTTGGTGAAGACACAGCCAAGAACCCTTTTAAATATAAAACCCCCACCATACAGAAAACACGCAGCCTCGCCACGTTTTTAGTCTTTTAATTTTTTTTTTAAGTAAAGAAATTCCATTGAATCAAAGATAACAAAATTACAGTTTTCGCTTTTAATGATCTTTGTTTACCACCACACGGAATCAACATAGGACCCCAACGCAATATGAGAACATAAATCGATTAAGGACACCACTGTTTAGTATAGTTTCTTAATAAAGGTAAATCTCCTCGTTATTTAGAAAAAATTGCATTGCTAGTTGCAGATCTTAAACACCTCGGTGCTGGAGGGTCCCGTGTCCCCCTCTCCCCCCTCAAACCCAGCAGCACGGAGAATTTCAGAACACAAACGCAAAAACACACAGTTTTCAGGGCAGCAACCCCCCCACCCCCCCAAACCCAGCAGCACGGAGGATTTCAGAACACAAACGCAAAAACACACGGTTTTCAGGGCAGCAACGTTAAGTTTCAGGGAAATTCAAACAAAACGACACACAACAGCAATCAGGAATGTGAACGCGATGGTTCCCAAAAATCAATCTGGAAGCAGATCTGTGAGGGGAAGAACGAGGCTGACGGGAGTCTGAGCGGGCCAGGGAGGGGGGCGCACACTGGCTCCCGCCCCTCCCCGCCCCGGTGGGTGGGTGTCGCTAAGGCAGCTGCAGTGGCAGGAGTCGGAGCTCAGGTACAGTGACGGTCTTCCTGAGGCAGTGGGGTGGAGAGGTGACAGGGCTCGAGGCGGACTTGTGCTTCGGGGGAGCTAAGGAGGCCAAAGCAAAAACCAAACGGGACCCAACTGGACACCCGGGGAAGCCTGGCCCACCCACACCCTCGGCCTGGGGGCTGCTCAGCGTGGGTGGTCCGGGGGAGAATGCCCATTGGGATGAGGGTATTTCTGCAGGTGCTGTAAGCGACGGTCCCCAACTTATGGCAATAGTAGTAGATTTCTTGGCTTATGGGGACCAGGAGAAGGAGAACGTAGGATATAGATTTCATTACTAATGGACAGAGGAGGCGAGTTAAAAGGCTTAATCTGCCAGTTAAGAAAGGAATGTCATCTTATTATATTAGAGACACCCGCACACATGCCGGGAAAAACAGCTCAGGAAACATGGAGGGGGTGGGGGGGGGGCTAGCTCTTCCAAAAGGGGCAGCTGTCCGCTGTCTGGTAGTGGAGAAAGGCTGGCGAGCTGGACCCCGCAGCCTGCTTCCGAGGAGGCCCGGCGGCAGCATCCGGGGCCAGAGGAAGCGGCTTTTGTTTGGGGAGCATCCCAGCCTCGCTGCCAGCCGGGGCCACTTCCCCTTCCCTTAGCCTCAGATACAGTTTGGCAAAAGCAATGCTACTCTAGGAAGAGGGGGGTGCCTCCCTCTGCTGATAGACAACAGAGGTTCTCTAACCTTCCCCTCCACTGCTGGGCCCCTGCCCGCCACGGACAGGCCCCTTTTCACGGCCTTGGGGAGCATCCAAGTCAGCCAGAGTGGCTTTGAACAAGAGGCCAAGAAGGAAGAGAGGCGTCAGAGGAGGCATTTGGCAGGTTCTGGGTCCCCCAGCGCCGAGGGGTGGGGGTGCCGAACGTAAGAAGGCGCGTACAGGCCACAGGAGAAATGCTCTGGTTTTGCTTGTGGCTTCGCTTCTAACTCCCTCAGCGGGAGGATTTGAACGGCGATGCCACGATACTGGGGAATACCGGGGAGGAGGGATATTCAAGTTAAGGCTTTCTGGTCAAAGAAAGGGATTCCGGATGATATTGTGAGCGGATGCTGCAGGCAAATTGCTTCTTAGCAACTTGGAACGCCACGTGAGGTGTCAGTGATCTTTATTCTACCTCCAAGCCAGGACCGAGGCCCCGGGAAGAGAAGGGCCCCTCACATCCCAGACATCTGCTTGCCTGGCAAACACCAACAAGAACACACGCATTGTCCCCCTGGAGCTGGCGAAAGGACCCGCAAGTCACACAGCGACAAAGTAGCGCGCTCTCATTCTCGGCTGCCCTACCCGGGGAGTCGGGCTTTAATGAGGACGGGGTTGGAGAATGAAAGCCGGAGCTGGAAGGATGTCTGCCCCGGGAACTCTCAACGCTCTGCCTGAGTCACACAGAAAGATGGGCCACCTGCCTCGTGCCAACGCTGCACCTGCCCTGGTCATGCGGCCAGCCTCGGGACAGCAAGGACATGGAGATGAGGATGGAGATGAGGATGGAGACGCTGAAGGGAAGCCAAAGGCACAGGGCAAGGGCAAGGGCAAGGTCTAGGGTCTTCACCGCAAAGCCTAATGCAGCAGCTCCCTCCCCCAGGCCTCTCAAGGGGAGCCGGGGGCCCTGACTCACCGGATTCTAAAGCAAGAGCTGCAGAAGGCCAGTGGGAGTGTTCGGGAAAATGACCTGTACATACGTGAATGGTTTTAGAGATGGTCTAGGACAAGCATGTCAAACTCACGCCCACCGGTGGGCCACACGCCTCGAGGCATGTGGCCCGCGGGCCACGAGTTTGACATGCTTGGTCTAGGATCACTGGGGCTCAGGGAGGTGAAGCGACTGCCCCCATCCAGGGTGAATGAGGGACAAGCACCCAGGTCCCCTGCACCCTGCTTCCCAACACCACGCCCAGAAAGGGGCGCTCCCCTTCCAGGCACATTGCCCCTCGTGTGGTCTGTCACAGGGCCCCCTCCCCCACTCCCCTGCCAAGTGTGAAATGCCGCTGAGAGCTTACAAGGAGGGTGACCACAAACAACCTTCTGCTCCAGGCCGCCCTGGAGTCCCTGGTGCAAAGTCACAGCAGAGAAGTGAGGGGCTTTCTTTCTTTCTTTCTTTTTTTTAATCCTCACTGGAGGATATTTTTTCCACTGATTTTTAGAGAGTGGAAGGGAGAAGGAGAGACAGAGAGAAACACCGATGTGAGAGACACATCGATGGGATGCTTCCCACCTGGCCCTGACCAAGGCCGGGAGCCTGCAATCGTGGTACGTGCCCTTGACAGGAATCGAACCCGGGACCCTTCAGTCCGCAGGCCGACGCACTATCCACTGAGCCACACTGGCCAGGGCAAGGGGTTTTCTCCAAGGCTGTTAAGCGCCCTCTAACAGAAGTGCATCAAGGAGACCTGACACCATTTTTCAGAAAATCCTAATTTGCCTCGAATCGGTTACTCATCGGTGCCTTCAAATGGTTTAGGAGGCAGGGGGTACAACCAGGAGGAACATGGGTACCCGCCCCCCCTTGGTTTTTAACGTGTTATTCCTGCGATTGAACTGTCTGGGTCTATGCAACTTACATCCTTCCTCTGATTTCAGAATAGAGTGTTCAAAAGCCCTAGTTTTAGCCCAAGTGGGGCCTTAATAGCCAGGTGAGCACTCCCATCACCATCAGAAATGAACGACTTCAGAAGAAAAGCGAAGGGAAGCGGGAGGGAGGAGGAAGCTGACCTACATAGAAAATGCCGCTCCCCTGTTTACCAGGCGAGTTTGCCTCTCTGCAGATTCAATGCCCTGTGCGCTCGCTCATTCAGGGCAAACAAGAACGTCCCTGTTAAGACGGCCACAGCCACCCTCTCATTTCCATGCCCGGGAGCCTGGCGCTGAACAAAGGGCTTCAGTGGACTTCGTGTGAGCGCCATTCAGAGTCACACACTGAAAAGAGCTCAGCTGGGACGCCACCCTCGCAGCCCCGGGGGGTGAATTCCGGTTGGGTGGCAACAAAGGAGGGGCCCCAAACTCTGCCTCTCCCCCCACCTCCGGGGGGACACCTGGGTCGGACTGTCGTGCAGACCAGGCTCTAAGGACTTCTGTCCCCTGCACCCGGGGGTGACAACAACACTGTCTTTTCTCTTCCCGATGGAGCTGGTACCTGGCCAGTACTTCCTCAGAACAGGGCAAGAGAGGGGGCCCGGGGCAAATGACAGGAGCCGCTGGCTTCCTGGGATGGTCACACAAACCTATGAAGTTATTGCTTCGTTTACCGAATGTCACAGAAAGTCTTAAGTAATGAAGGGAGACAGCGGGGGCTGTCGGGTGGCGGGGAAGTGACAGGGGAGAAGGACATGCTTCCAAATTGAGGGTCAGATGGTAAAGTGCCACTTTGTGCTACAACAACGCCAAGAGGAAAAGCACTAGAAAAGTAACCACTTGGGGGGTGGGGGGAGGGAGTCACAAGGACAAACGTGGTGTGTGTTTGTATAAACCACAGCAAAGTCCGGACCACAGGAATCATCATCTTTTGAGATAATGGCTGTTTTTGATGTTATTTGTTAGTTCGATCTAGTGATTGTCAGCAAATAATTTCTCCAGGTCGCAGACGTTACTGTCACCGTCACTTGGACCAATGCTCAAGCTGTGACCACCTGTGGCCACAGGTGACTCCCTCCACCCCTTCCACATCCACACAGACCCACTTTTCCTATTCCTGCCTGCCCCGGGGCAAAGGAGATGAAGCAGGGAACATTTTGAAGTATCCAGGCAATTTCTCTCATAGTTCCATTTCGCTCCAGATAGCAATGGCAGATTTTTCCAAGTGCAGGGCTTTTAGACATTCAAGTACCACAGGATTGGAGAAAAGTACTTGAAACTTAGAGTGACATTTTCATTGGGGAAGACACCTTCGGAGAGACCTCTACAGACTACAACAGGCTATGACGTTAAAAATCTGCTTGCAAAACACCTCAGGTTGGGAAGGTCTTTCTCCAAACTCAGGTCCGACTTTTGAATTGTTTGGTATCAAAAGCCAGAGTTGGAGAGACCTGGGTTAAAAAATAAAATTACAAATGAGTGCATAATAAAGCAAGGCCCCACACACGGCTTTATATGACATGAGGAACAAACAAAGGCAAATGATGACATCTACATGTTTAGACTGGAGGGCGGCTCCCAGGGGCCCTGGGAGGGATGGTCTCTCAAACCTCAGGAAAGTGAGTTTGTCATTGAACTTCAGGACGGGTAGTGATCTCGGCAGGCAATCCACCTGGTCCAAGTCCCCCATTTTACAGGTGAGGAACGTCAAGTTCAAGGGGGCTCTTCCAGGGTCATATAGCCAGTGAGAAGCAGAGTCAGGTGTGGTCACAGGGGGCAGGCCTTGGAGGCCCCTGGGAGCTGGGTGACCCCTCCGACTACGGATTTTAATGAAAAGAGCTACCGAGATGTTTCTAATTTAAAGGCCCTGCAGACAGCGTTTCCCAAATTTGCCTGGCGATGAGAATCACCGGGGGCACTTGTCAAAAATTAAAATCCCCAGGCCCTTTCCCAGGCCCACGGCATGGGCTTCCCCTTGGGGAGGGACCCGGGAGGCTGAATTTTTAATAAGCGCCCCAGGTCACTCTCATCACCAGCAAGGCGCTGGGAGACTGTCTAGGAGAGAGCGAGGGGGAAGCTTGGCTTGTGATCAAGGGGGTTTTCTCTGCCCTAAGAGGCCCCGCTGCGGCCGGGAGCCCCGGGACCCCAGGTTCGGAGCTGACCTGCATCTCCGGCAGGGGCTGGGCGGGGGAGCGCTTTTCCGGGTCTACACAAGGACGCATAGGGCCACCGCCAACTAACAGACGTCCTTCATTGTTCCTGGGGGAGAGCCTTTTGATTGGCAAAGCAAAACTGCTGTCCCGACACGTTTTTCATAGGGAAACTAGATGTGATTGGCTTAAAAGCAATCATGATATGATGCTCAACTGGACAGGAGGGTGAGGGGCTGTCTGGCGCGTGTCGCCATGGCTAACAATGCAATGGAGGAAACAAGGAACTAAGCACAAAAATAGCCTGGAGCTCCCGGGGTAGCCGCCCACCCCGAGACAGGTGTGCCCGGTGGTGGCCCCCGCTGACGGTGTGAGGTCAGATCCAGGTCACGGAGGGAGGGGGAGACCTGAACAGCCGGTGAGGGACGCCAGTTCAAGGAGGGCAGCTGGAGCGCCAGAGTCCGGGGGCCTCACTCCAGGCCGGCCTCCACCTGCTCCGCGTCGGCGCACTGCAACTTGCTGCGTTCCCACTGGCAAATGGCGTTGGCGTACTCCACCACCAGCTTGTCCATCCACGTCAGCGGCTCGGGCAGCAGCATGGAGCCCTCGAAGAAGCCCAGGTGGCCCCCGTGCAGAGGCAGCACAAACATGACGTTCTCCCGTTTCTCTGCAGGGGAAAGGCAGCCGTGAGTCCCTGTCCTCGGGGTCGCTCCGCGGCAGGAGGTGCGGATACGCTGGCCAGGTGGCCCGGGTGTTCCCCACAGGTGAAGGTCACCTACAAGGGCATCCGACCTCCACTCACTGCCTCGTTCAGCTCCGTAGGAGGGAGACCGGTGGGGTAGGCACGACAGTGGGACCTAGCAGGTTGGGGAACAGCAGCTTGGCTTGGAGCAGAGCCTTTAAGATCTAAGCCAGGGGTCCTCAAACTACGGCCCGCGGGCCACATGCGGCCCGCCGAAAACATTTATCTGGCCCGCCGGGTGTTTTTGCTGCCGCTGCCTGTTGCTTAGCAGCCAACTAGTTTTTTTTTAAACTATAGTCCGGCCCTCCAAGGGTCTGAGGGACAGTGAACTGGCCCCCTGTTTAAAAAGTTTGAGGACCCCTGATCTAAGTGGTTCTCAAACACGGCTGCGTGTTAGCACACATGGGTTTGGAAAGATCTCTGTGCAGCACCCTGGCTGGTTTGGCTCAGTGGATAGAGCGTTGGCCTGCAGACTGAAGGGCCCCGGGTTCGATTCCGGTCAAGGGCACATGCCGGGTCTCGGGCTCAATCCCCAGTAGGGGGCGTGCAGGAGGCAGCCGATCCATGAATGATTCTCTCTCATCATTTCTATCTCTCTCTCTCTCTCTCCCTTCCTCTCTGAAATCAATAAAAATATATATTAAAAAAAAGATCTCTGTGCAGCGTCCAGACCAGTTACATCAGGGTCTCTGTGGGTGTGGGGGATGGGTGGGAGGGGGAACCAGGCGCTGCAGCTGCTAAAGCTCCCCAAGTGACTCGGCTGAACAGTCAAGCACGCCCCAACTTTGTGCATGGGAACCCCTGGGATATCGCCTTAAAATGCAGGCGCTGCTTTCCCAGGCAGCGAGAGCTGAGTTCCCAGGCGGTGCTGCTGCTGCGTGGAGGGGGGGTCCTGGGAAGGATTCCCAGCCCGGCGTTTACACTGTCATTCACTGGAGAACAAGGCAACTCAGGGAGGCGATGGTTTTTCATGCCGTTTATCTTCTAAGACCGAAGCATAAAGCTGCCGGTGGTGCTTAAAGATGCCCACACTCTCGCCCTAACCGGTTTGGCTCAATGGATAGAGTGTCGGCCTGCGGACTCAAGGGTCCCAGGTTCAATTCCGGTCAAGGGCATGTACCTTGGTTGCGGGCACATCCCCAGTAGGGGGTGTGCAGGAGGCAGCTGATCGATGTTTCTCTCTCATCGATGTTTCTAACTCTCTATCCCTCTCCCTTCCTCTCTGTAAAAAATCAATAAAATATATTAAAAAAAAAAAGATGCCCACACTCTCATGGCACCCGCTGAGCGGGCATGCCGAGCAGGACAGACGGGGTGGGCACGAGGCTTGATGAGTGAGGTTAGTTGCTAGCACAGCCAGCACGGAACGGGCAGCTACGGGAGCAGCTGTCTTCCTGGGGCCGTGGTCGGCAAACCGCGGCTCGTGAGCCACATGCGGCTCTTTGGCCCCTTGAGTGTGGCTCTTCCACAAAATACCACGTGCGGGCGCGCAGAGCCACACTCAAGGGGCCAAAGAGCCTCATGTGGCTCGCGAGCCGCGGTTTGCCGACCACTGTCCTGGGGGGTCACTGACAGCGCCCCTGCTGGCTGCCCGGGCCTCGGCGGGCGACACTTCCTGGCACGCGCACGTGGCTCCGGGCTCGCTCCTTTCTTGCCTGAGCCCTTATACCCTGTCCCTGCGGTCACCATTGCACACGTTTCTGTGCCACGGCAGCAGCGCTACGGCTGGGTGCAGGGAAGGAAGCAAACGCGCTGCTTTCTCTGGGTGCTGCCCACGTGGCTGAGTGGGCGACTTCTGTGCAGGGGCCCGAGGTTTGGAGGGGAAGGTGGGTGGCAGGGGAGGGACTTTACCCCAGCCCACGCGCGGCACGCACTCTGCGTGGTGCTCTCTGGAGGCGGGCGTGGGTCCCCGTCTGCTGCAGGATCTACCCTCCTCGCTTGGGGTCACGAGAGACCCAGAGGTATCCCCGCCTCCTCCGGGTGACATAGGACACTTACAGGGGATGTGGGGGGAAATGAGGCCCTAGCAGTCCCAGGTTTCCTCCTGCGGCCCCGCCTCACTCTCCTCCAGCTCCGACCTGCCCTGGGTAACACTCCCACGGCCACAGCTGCTTTCTCAGTTGCTTATATTTTTATCCTCAAAGCAGATGGAGAGGCTGGCTGTCACGAGGGGATTTTTATTTATTTTTTGCTTTTCAGGTCAAGTCTGAAGAGTAAATATCTCTTTCAGTCAAACTCTCAGACTTAATGGAGCCATAACCCTGAGCCGACAATTGCAGTTGCCTCTGATGTAAGGGAGGGGCCTGCCTCCCGCACGGGACGGACACGACACGGGGAGGCTCTGCCCAGGCCCCCGCACAGCCCGGGACTGTCGGGTCTGACCAACAGCACCGCAGGAGGGACAGCACGCGAAGGGGACAGAAGGACCGGCGGTCTGCCGAGCGCCTGAGGGAGCAGCAGGAAGACACTTACCTGAGAGAGACTTTGGAATGCTGAGGAGACTTTCATGTACCAACGGGTCATCGGCTGCGTTAACCAGCATGAGGGGCACATAGATCTGAACCAAGAAAAGAAAAAGAATGAAGTGATCGCTTCCCTTTTGTGGACCCCACTGATCCAAGGTTCAAGTTCACTCCCCGACCTGGCCCTGAAGAAGAGGGAAGGTGGCCATTGCTCAGTGTGCTGAACAGGTGGGTGAGGGACACCCTGGTCCCCCGGGTGGCCAGCTGCTGCTGTGACTCCGGCCCTCAGACACCCCTGGACCGCCATGCCGGGAGTGCACGCCTGCGTGTGCTAAGCTGGAGTCTCTGGCCTGAGCTCTGGGCAGCTCCACGGTGCTGTAATGTGCAGATGAAGGCACCAGAAGCCTGGGTGTGAGGCTGAGCTAGGAGGGGTGGTCGACATGACACGTGGCCGAACTGCAGCCACAAGTCCCTGCTTCAGCTGGGGAGGGGGCCACACCAACACGTGCTCATAGTCGGGGTCAACGGAGTCCCACGTTGGAGCCAAAAGAGCAATTGTGCACAGAATGAGAGACCGGTTGGTGGTGGTTCAGGCAAAAAACATGTGGGGGTTCCCCTAGCCGGTTCGGCTCAGTGGATAGAACGTCAGCCTGTGAGCTCAAGGGTCCCGGGTTCAATTCCCGCTCAGGGCACATGCCCAGGTTGTGAGCTTGATCCCCCAGTAGGGGTAGGGCAGGAGGCAGCCGATCAGTGAGTCTCTCTCATCATTGACGTTGCTATCTCTCCCTTCCTCTCCCTTCCTCTCCCTTCCTCTCCCTTCCTCTCTGAAATCAATAAAAATATAGCCACAGACTTAATTTAATATGCATGAAGTTCATTATAGCTGCTATAACTGCATTAGTATAAACCTAGTCTCTTTGTCAACATATTCCTCCTCGTTTTGATAGAGAAATACACCTATTTTACTGTGATCACCAGATCACGGCAGGACTTTTTAATTCAGTCCTAGGCACCACACTGACTAAACACACAAGGGCCAACAGAAGGGTCCAGGACTGTAGGAAGTCTACACGGATCGCCTATGAGGGAAAGGCAGGAACCAGGCAGGGCTGCACAGTCCAGGGAAGACTAAGGAAAGAATGGGCTGTAAGCTTTTACAGACACAGGCACAGACCGGTCCTGCCCTGCACGAAGGGGCAGCACAGGGATTACACATGGGACTGCAGGGGGCGGGGCTGCAGAGGGGCGGGGTCGCAGAGGGACAGGGTCACAGGGGGACAGGGTCACAGAGGGACAGGGCCGCAGAGGACAGGGTCAGCAGAGGGACAGGGCCGCAGAGAGACAGGGTCGCAGAGGGACAGGGCCGCAGAGAGACAGGGTCACAGAGGGACAGGGCCGCAGAGGGACAGGGTCACAGAGGGACGGGGCCGCAGAGGGACGGGGTCACAGAGGGACAGGGTCACAGAGGGACGGGGCCGCAGAGGGACGGGGTCACAGAGGGACAGGGTCACAGAGGGACGGGGCCGCAGAGGGACGGGGTCACAGAGGGACAGGGTCACAGAGGGACGGGGCCGCAGAGGGACGGGGTCACAGAGGGACAGGGTCACAGAGGGACGGGGCCGCAGAGGGACGGGGTCACAGAGGGACAGGGTCACAGAGGGACGGGGCCGCAGAGGGACGGGGTCACAGAGGGACAGGGTCACAGAGGGACGGGGCCGCAGAGGGACGGGGTCACAGAGGGACAGGGTCACAGAGGGACGGGGCCGCAGAGGGACGGGGTCACAGAGGGACAGGGTCACAGAGGGACGGGGCCGCAGAGGGACGGGGTCACAGAGGGACAGGGTCACAGAGGGACGGGGCCGCAGAGGGACGGGGTCACAGAGGGACAGGGTCACAGAGGGACGGGGCCGCAGAGGGACGGGGTCACAGAGGGACAGGGTCATCAGTTCAATAATTAACCCAAGTTAACGGCTGGACAGTCTGAGCCAGACTCCGGCCGAGCTGCCCACAGGGACGGTCAGGAGGGAGCTGCCCCGGGCGGAGGCGGGATGAGGGGCAGGAATGCCGGTGCGGCCACTCACCCTGTGCAGGTACCGCATGCAGCTCTCCTCCTCGTAATACTCCTTCAGGGAGTTGTAGCCATGGAACTTCCTGCGACACACACGGAGGAAAAGGACAAAACAACACATGTCATCAGACGGGAATTCGGAGCGGACTGGACTCTGGCTCCGGTTCCTGCACGAATTGGCCAGACACACAGTGGAAATACCTGGCACCAGAGTTCGGGTTCAGAGCCCCGGCTCTGGCATGGCTGTGTGACCTCAGGCAAAGGGTTTAACCGCTCTGAGCTTCTCCTCTGTAAACGGAGCTGAGCACAGGGCCTGCCTTCATGGCGCTGCGAGACTTCTGACATTAACGTGTGTACCAGCACCGCTACCGGCCCAGAGAAACTACTCAATAAGTGTTATCGATAGTGATTATTGGCAGATGTCACATCTTTCGAGGCAGTGTAAAACCAGATGTCACTAGACACTAAGAAACTGAAACTCAAAGGCATTTGCTAGAACTTTCTTTACAACAGAGTCTTCGTGGCAGAGTAACCCCGGCCACTGTGAACTGAAATGACGTAGGTACCGAGGAGAAATGAGGGAGTCAGAGTCCCCGATTCCGGCCGCCACGGGGCAGACAGAAACGGACGCTGACCAAACCTTCAGCCGGGTCTGCCCCGGCTCTGAGCGGCCTGGAGCTCGGATCCCGCAGCCAGTCCGCCCGCCAGAGGCTCTGGAAACCTCCGCTCTTCCTGGGGTTTGTTTGTTTTTCTCATTAGACACACCCGTCTGAAGTGAGGGAGGGTAGAATTCATTCTCGCCTTCTAACACACCAGCAATTTCCTAGTTTCTCAACAGGCCTCTTTCAAGGTTACTTGGTGTAAGAAGGTGACTAAGATCCCATAAGAAAGGCAAGTGCAGATCCCGTACCTGCCCATCCTTTTTTTTTTTAAGTCTTTATTTTTATCTCCCCCCCCCCACCTTTTTTTTTTTTTGTCAATCCTCACCCAAGGATATTTTCCCATTGATTTTTAGAGAGAGTGGAAGGGAGAGGGAGAGACAGACAGAAACATCGATGCGAGAGAGAGACACATCGATTGGTTGCCTCCTTCATGTGCCCTGACCAGGGCCGGGGAACCTGCAACCAAGACATGCCCTTGATCACAGTCGAACCTGGGACCCTTCAGTCCACAGGCCGACGCTCTATCCACTGGGCCACACTGGCCACAGCGTGCCTATCTATTGAATGAACCTAAGCTTGCTCTAGACCAGGCCTACAGGTGTCAAATGATCATTAAATAAAAAGGGGGATTTAAAAAAAAGAGAGACTGATAAGGTCAGAAATCAACTTGACCTTTTCCGGTTAAGACTAACTGGAAACTATTGGTACCAGGAAGGAGGACACTGTCAGGGTGCCGACCTCGGGGCCTGGAGGGGCCGGACAGGGAGAGGGAGACGGGTGAGGTGGACGGGTTTGTGTATTACACTCGGAGGAGTGTCCACGCCCGAAAGAAAGAGGCTCTGTCATTTCAGAGCCTTCTTGGTCTATTATTTTACTTCTGATAGAGACATAGGCAGGGACAAGAAATACTTCCTTTTCCGTTCCCTCCACTGCAGATGGAGGTGTGTGACGCCTGAGCCCTGCCTGGTGTGGAGCACACGGGCGGGGTGAGCACTGCGGGCAGCTTGGGTGTGACCCCAGGCCCCGGTTCCAGCCCCAGTTCCAGCCCCAGTTCCAGCAGGGATGCAGAAGGAGGGGGCATCCTCTTCCTACTTTCCAAGAAAAACTACAATTTTCATTTTCTGTGAAATCTGTGAGGGGTTTTGTTTGTTTTTGTCTTTCCCCCCCTCTTCTTCTGTTGATTTTAAACACTGGACATGTATTCAGGGGTGAAAAAAAAAGCCCCAAGCACTAAAGAGGGCAGAGAACCCCCCTCCCCCACCCCCCGCTGCTGGACAGCCCGCCTGCGGCCTCCCGCCTGGCCCAGTCCGGAGCGTGTGAGGACCCACCTCATCACGTTGTCGTCGATCTGCATCAGGGACGTGGCCATGTAGAGGCGGCTCAGGTCCGAGTCCTCCAGGGTCTGGGGCTTCTTCACATGGTCCCCAAACAGAGCTTGTCTAGAGGGAGACACAGAGGCAGACAGAGGACACGCGGGTGAGAAACCAAGCAAATGCCCTTGTACACTGGAAACACCTCCCATCTCATCGCCAGGGCTCCACAGCGCAGCTGGAAACCATTTTTAATTTAAAAAATGCTACAGCGGACAAGAACCACGGCCGAGCCGCTTCCTGGCCCGGAGGCAGGCAGGGGGCAGGGACAGTGCGCATCTGGGGGAGTTAGAACAGCTGCCTCCAGCCCTCAGAATTCTCTGAGGAGGCGCTGGCGCTGTTGACTTGGGAATAACTGCCGGAAGATGGGTGTCAAGACCTCATTTTCCTTCTCAGGGGCCGCTAGACAAACTCCAGATCGGGGCTGAGCCCGGGCGACTATGACCAGGCCTTCCTGGCGGGGGAGGAGGTCCCGGGCGGGCAGTCACACCATGAGTGGTGGGCAGTGGACCAAACAGCGGGGCCTCGTGTTTACATGGGCGGTGATGGTGCCCCCCTGCCAGAGCCCCTCTCCTTTTACGAGTTGTTTCTGTGCTTACCAAGGCAGACAGCAGTTAACCCACTTAACATGCGGCCAAATTAGCCCCGTGTACGCCATCAGCGTCTGTAGACGCAAGCAGTGGACCTTCTCCACATGCCATGTGCGTCTATAAAAAAAAAAAATTTGCCGAAACCAATTTGGCTCAGTGGATAGAACATCGGCCTGCGGACTGAAGGGTCCCGGGTTTGATTCCGATCAAGGGCATGTACCTGGGTTGCGGGCACATCTCCAGTGGGGAGTGTGCAGGAGGCGGCTGATCGATGTTTCTCTCTCATCGATGTTTCTAACTATCTCTCTCCCTTCCTCTCTGTAAAAAATCAATAAAATATATTAAAAAAAAAAAATTTTCCCTAAGTGGCAGCCCTGACCAACTTTAAAATCATTTGTCATGAGAATTTTCAGCTGAAAATATTCAAGAACACCAAATTGGGAGGAATATATTTATTTTTATAATATTCATTGCAAATTGGTTTTTTAAATTAAATTCAAAATATCTCGGCGTGTGGGGATGGTTTCCGTTTTGGACGCGTGGCAGTTAACTGGTTAACGGCTCTCCAACGTGTGAGCTGCAAAGCTAATATGTACTCAGGAGAGTAATCATTTCTGTTCAGGATGACAAGAAGGGTCAAGGTCAGCGCCACGTGAACCCACCCACAGGAGCCCCATCTGGGTGTGTGGCCAGGACGGCAAGCACCACAGTGCTGGTCCTTGAAAAAAAGAGAGTAAGCAACTGGTCATTCAGTCAAATTGCCTTTTCTCGGATGGTGCTAAAAACACCCTAAAAATGTATTGTTGAGAGCCCATTACGTGCCAGCCTCTGGGACTCAGAAGATATTGATGATAATCATAACAGTGAGTCACGCTCATATTACTGAGAGCTCCACACGCCGGGCCTGCTCTGAGCATTGGCCAGGGCTGCCCCCCTGCCCTCCCCTCGCCCCAAGGCTTCTGAGCAGGAGAGGCCGGGAGCACGGAGACCTGACCCCACAGGTGGCACCAGGCGCTGGGCTCCTGTCACACTGCTGCTTGGTCAGACGCCCAAGACCCCCAACCACAAAGCCTCCTACGGGGAGAGGTTCCTGAACACTGACCAGCCGCCCCAGGACGGCCTGGATTCACTGGGAATGATGACAGCAGCCAGCAGGGCACCTGCATCTCCCCCGCCCCTTCATGTTCCCTGGAGAAAGCAGAGTCCTGGCCTTTAGCGACGCCCAAATGAGCCGAGGGAGGACTGTCCCCCGAGGGAGGTGCCGCACCTGTGCGAGAGGATGATCTTCTTCATGTTGTCGGCCATGAGGAAGTTGTAAAAGCGGCGGCACTGGTCCCACTGCATGAAGGTCTCCTGGGCCCTGAAAGAACCACAGGAGGGTGATGGGGTGCGTCCTGGAGAGGAAATGGGGTGCGGGGGAGGCAGAGGCTGGGGGGCTCTTGCCCCTGACAAGGGCCTGCAGAGAGCAGCTGCTCCCTACGGTGGCAGGGGGCCTCGATGGCACTCACACTCTCTGCGTGGAAAACGTCAGAGACGTGCAGAACATGAGCCCAGGAGAGACCTCTCCAGGGACACAGGCTCTGTTGGTGACACTCCCGATACCTCTTCCGGCACCTAGGCCTCCTCGTAGTCACAGAACCTGCCTGCAGCAGAGTCTGCTTCAGCTGGCAGGGACCCCTTTCTCTGTTTGGTTTCCTACCTTGCACACATTTTTCTGGCTTACTGACGGGAGTGTGTAAGGGGTGGGTGGGTGTGAGGACGTACAATGCAGGCAAAAACCTAAAGCAACTCTAGCTGCTGTTTGGTGTGAGCCCCGAGGCGGCTGCCACAGTGAATGAGAGCAGGAACTTGAACTACGGCCCATCTGACCCGACTGGGTAGTTTGCCAAGCCCTGCACGAGCCACTTCACCCGCCAAGCCTCAGTTTCCTCATCCGTCAAATCAGGGGTTTGATCTAGAGAACTGGTCGGCAAACTGCGGCTCGTGAGCCACATGCGGCTCTTTGGCCCCTTGAATGTGGCTCTGTGGAAGAGCCACACTCAAGGGGCCAAAGAGCCGCATGTGGCTCGCGAGCCGCGGTTTGCCGACCACTGAGCTAGAGAATCCATTTTCACACCCGATTGCTCTATAGCTGGTCCCATCACAGGCCGACAGAGGCCGCCTGGGGGACCCCAGTGGTGTCTTCATTGCTTCTGTTAATGGTGGATGGGAGTCTGTAGACTGGATTCTATAGACCAGGATTAGTGGTGTTAGAAATGAGTCTGTCCTGGCCTCGATAGTCATAATGGAGTTCAAATGATGAATTAAACTGGAGAGTGCCCTAGCCCAGCGGTCGCCAACTTTTCGGACCTCAGAGACCACTAGTGGTCCGCGGACCACCGGTTGGCGACTGCTGCCCTAGCCAGTGTGGATCAGTGGATAGAGCGTCGTCGGCCTGCGGACTGAAGAGTCCTGAATTCGATTCCGGTCAAGGGCACATGCCCAGGTTGTGGGCTTGATCCCCAATAGGGGGCATGCAGGAGGCAGCTGATTAATGATTCTCTCTCATCATGGATGTTTCTATCTCTCCCTTCCTCTCTGAAATCAACCTACATATATAAAAGCCTAAGTGACTGTCAGACCGGTAGCTATGATGTGCACTGACCACCCAGGAACAGACGCTCAACGCAGGAGCTGCCAAGCTATGGTGACTTGGCAGCTGCAGTTCTCAGGTGATGCACCCGGAACCAGAGAGGAGGAAGCCCGATTCTGGGGTGCATCACCTGAGAACCGCCCTTTCGCAATCCAGGACCCCTCAGGGGAAGTCGGAGAGCTGGTTTCAGCCTGATCCCCGCAGGCCAGGCTGAGGGACCCCACTGGTGCACGAATCCGTGCACTGGGCCTCTAGTAAAAATATATTTTAAAAAAAGAATTAAAGCAGAGAGTTAGACGGAGTCTACCACACACATTTCCAGGGCTAGTGGGCCGCACGCCGAGGGAACGTGTAGCATCCACTAGATACCAGCAGCTTAGGGCATCGGTGTCCCTCCCTCGCCGGCTCAGCACAGCTCAACGTGAGCTTGTCTGGTGGCAGCAGCTAGACTTTGCCAGTACAGCAAGCGGTGCTGGCTTTGGAGCCTTGGAAGGGCTCTAGCTAGAAGGGAGGTGCTCCTGGGATGCGAAGCCTGAGGGAGGGGATGAATGACTGACAAGCAGGGCTATAGACTCAGCCAGGAAGGATTTGCCAGAAGCAAGACATCCCGTGTGGCCCCGAGAGGCAGGCGAACTTTCCCTGCTCCATCCTGGCAGGAGGGAAGCATGGCTGCCACCATCCCAGGGCCGAGAAGGCTCACTGCCCTCAGGCCACAGTGGGGAAAAGGTTACACTGGTTTAAGGTAAGGCTCTGTCCTTCAACGAGGTCTCATGCTAACGCTGAGGGGAGCTGAGCTCCGGGCAGCACCAGCATACGGGACCCTGGCGTCTCCCTGACCTGCCCCCCGACCCCGAGTGCAGGGCCCTGGGACCTTAGGACACAGTTGCCTCTTTCTCCGCTCATTGCGAGAAGTTGTGTGACAATAGCTATTCTAAGTGTGGAGATCTCTGTAGCATCTCACATTTTTTTTTTTGTTCCCTAGCTTCTTTTTTTTAAAATATATATTTTATTGACTTTTTACAGAGAGGAAGGGAGAGGAATAGAGAGTTAGAAACATCGATGAGAGAGAAACATCGATCAGCTGCCTCCTGCACACCCCCTATTGGGGATGTGCCCGCAACCAAGGTACATGCCCTTGACCGAAATCAAACCTGGGACCCTTCAGTCCGCAGGCCAACGCTCTATCCACTGAGCCAAACCGGTTAGGGCCCCTAGCTTCTTTTTTAAAAACATCTTTTTGTAAGAAATTAAAGGATAGTTGCACGGTTGGCGTGGCTCAGTGGTTGAGCATCGACCTATGAACCGGGAGGTCATGGTTTGATTCCCAGTCAGTGCACATGCCCAGGTTGCGGGCTCGATCCCCAGTGTGCGGTGTGCAGGAGGCAGTCAATCCGTGATTCTCTCTCATCATTGATGTTCTCTCTCTCCCTCTCCCTTCCACTCTGAAATCAATAAAAAAATATTTTAAAAAAATTAAAGTATAGTTGACATACATTATACGAGTTTCAGGTGTACAGCAGTTACTTGACATTTATATACCTTGCTGTGTGATGCTGCAATAAGTCTGTCACCCTACAAGTTATTATGACAATGCTGACTATATTTCCTTTGCTGCACCTACATCCTCATAATTATGTTTTATAACTGCACGTTTGTACTTCTGATTCCCTTCGCCGTTTTTGCTCATCCCCCCACCCTCCTCTAGCAGCCATAAGTTAGGGTCTCAGTTTCTTAAACCTTCTTGGCCTCAATTCCAACACCTTCGTTTGCCCAATGTGCTGATCGGGTGCTCTTGCCAACAGCAGGTGGCGCTACTGCCGCAAAATGAAAAATGATTTCGTTCATTGAAAAACGCAGGAAAAGAAACGTCCCACGTCCCTACGTATCAAATCCATTGCTCTCTGAACACAAAGCCGGTGTTCACAGTGATTTCACAGCGCCTGGTTCAGGATTTTCCAGATGACCGAAGGCTTGCCGAAAACTGGACCACGTGGCGGGGAGAGCAGCCGAAGCTCTCGGGCCAGGCTGCTCCCCTGAGCCCCGGGCAGGCCTCTGCTCGCCTCTCTGCTGTCCCAGGGACTGGGCAGGAGGGACTTTGGTTACTCTGGTTACAAGATGGCTGTGAACTTGGAGTTGGTTCTTTCTAGTCAAGCCAAGACCAAGGCACAGGTCCTTTCAGCTGGCCCTCCAGAGAGTAAGGGGGACAGAGAGGAGGGTCCCCAACAGGAGGAAGAGGGGGCTCACCTAGTCCTGCCAACTAGAGCTGGAGAGACCACCGAGGTCCCAGCCCAGTGACTGCTACACGTGGCTAAATATCAGGAGTCGCCGTGAAATGTGTCCACATGCGGATTCCTGGCCACAGGCTCCAGGTTCATGAGTCAGAATCTCCAGGGGTGAATTTACTACTAACACAATCTCCCAAGTAAGTCTCCATGGAGTGAGACTGTCACCGTTCACCAGACTGGCCTTTGTGACCCCTGATCTGAACCGACTCTTATCTTACAGTGAATAATGATGATCATGAGCAGTGGCTGACTCACTTTCTAATCCGTCGTACCCATCAGTAACACTAAAGACGTTATAATGAAGAGTGAGCGCAGGAAACAATATGCATGCATTTGAAGAGTTTGGAGGTGTGTGTGTGAGTGTGTGTTTGTGTGTGTGTGTGTGTGTGGTGACTCCAGAGAGAACTGGGACGCCACCGATCTGGGGTTGGCGGGGGGGGGGACTCTGAGCAGACAGTAACCCCTCCCAGGCTCATCCTGCCGGGCTCTGCTGCCAGGAGAGCGAGGGGCGAGACAACCCTTTCCCCAGCAGGTCACCCCCTTGTGCTGCTGCCTAGGACACCTGAGAGAGGAATGCTTGAGGGTAAGGCACAGCTGAAATGACTGCCACAGATCCCTTCCAGACGCCACCCGAGACCCGACTCTTCCGTGGACAGGAGGGATCTGGGGTCATAAGGCCCAGCCGTTGGACACTGGTTAGCCCGTATCCAGTGCCCTTTCCTAACCCCTCCGTCGTGCAAAACTCCTGCAGCACAAACAGAGGAAGGCTTTCCACAGACTCCACAGGGAAACGGCCGCTGGAAGGGAGCTTCGGCTCATTCAGCTACAGATCTGGTCCTAATACAGCCGCACATCCCAGGCTGAAGGGTCTGATAGGGCCACTCCTGTGCATGACATGCAAACAACAACCCAGAAACCTCCGCTCGGTCCGCCACAGCACCTCCCGGGGGCTTTGTGAAGCAGCGTCAGGTGTACTGGGACATCTCAGCAAACACGTGCTAACGGAAGGGCCCGATGGGAGACAGGAGTGGGGGCCCGGGGTGGGGTGGCTCACCTCAGTGCGCTGTACCCCTGGCACACGCTGACGCAGCACAGGACCTTGTCTTGGTTCGCCTGTGTCTCCCCCAGGTATTTGCACACGATGTTACCGCCCAGGCTGAAGCCCACAACGACCAGCTGGGTCAGGGGGTATGTCTTCTTGATGTAGTTGACCATGGCTCCGAACTCCCAGGTGCAGCCTGTGGGCAGAAAGGTGAGGACACGGCGTCATATCGGGTGCGACAAGAGAGACTGGAGAAAATGTGATACAGGGGTAGGGGTTACTAAACGGATGCCAAGATATTAACAGAGAGAAGTGTGTGTGTGTGTGTGTGTGTGTGTGTGAGAAGAGAGAGAGAGAGTCAGACAGGTCTCTTTGGCCCCTGGAGAGAGAAGTTTCCAGATCCCCCAGGATAAGAGGAAGCATGGCGTTAGTAGTGCCTGTGAAGGAAGGTACCAGGTATCACACACGTGTAATGCTCCTTCAAAGGCGGGTTGTGAGAAGGCTGCGTGGACTGCATGGAAATCAAGAGAGGTTCAGAGAGTGCAGGAGCACACGTGTTCGCCCACAGATGAAGCAGCCGCAAGAACAAACCCTCTGGGATCAGCTTCTTAGGCTACAAATAGGACGGGGTGCTGTACCCATCTGTACAGTGATTCGTGGGGTTAAGAAAAGTACCAGGTGGCTGTTATTAACGGGATCTTCTTGGGGAGAGGGAAGGAAAGACAAGCTTCAGTCCAGAGGGATGGCCCGATGCTCTGTGGGATTAGGATCAAGTGCTCCTGGTGACGTAAGGACAGGGGGCCGAGGGAGGTGGCCCGTTCAGACACACACACAGGAGACCTATGGACAGAGAGGTGTGAGGGCCTAGTTTGCCCAGGAGGAATGATCTCAACGGGGCCCCCTGGGAAGCGGGTGAAGCCATGTTAGGTCTCAGCAGCTCTGTTTAGAGGAGCAGGTTGGTGGCCAGACATGGGTGAAGGGATGCATAGGACCCTTCTAAGGCCCGACCCCAGACTCAGCCTAAAATAAAACCTCACAGAGAACGTTAGGGGCTGTGGCAAGAAACATGTGCACGACAGACCAGCGTAAAGAGAGTTCGGATTTTGTGCCTGTTTTAAAAAGTACAGATCGTTGGTCCAGCAATTACACCTTTGGGGACTTTACTCTGCAGATGTACGTACAGATGCACACGTGTGTGCAAAGATATGAGAGCAGGGATGTCCAGTGCAGCCCTGTTTGTAGCAGCAAAGGATTGGAAGCAACCTACATTTCCGTCCACAGAGGACTAAATTGCTGTGAAAAAGACACCGAGTCTGACCTGCTGATGTGGAATGACTCCATGCCATCTTACTGAGGGGCAAAAACAAGGGCAGAGGAGGACTGGCACCATCGCACGTGTGTACTTGGGCTCTAAAGGGATTATATGTGCACACGTGTCTGGTTGAATGATCGCTGAACAACTGTAGCAGACATTAATTTTCCGGGGAGGAGGCGGCGGGGGGGCTGGAGTGGGACGGGACATAGTTTTACTCATTGTACAGTGGGGCCTTGACTTACGAGTGTCCCGACTAACGAGTTTTTCGAGATACGAGCCGTCTCTCGGCCGATTTTTTGCTTTGAGTGGCGAGCTAAAATTCGGGTTACGAGCCAGCTTCAGATACCCCACCGCTAGTTGGCGCAGCGAACGTCACAGTGAACGCCACAACATCAGCCCAGCATCACGTGTCTCACTCGTTCACTTTTTGACTTGACATACGAGTAATTTGAGTTACGAGCTCGGTCACGGAACGAATTAAACTCGTAAGTCAAGGCCCCACTGTATTCGGACTTTTGCACTGGCTATTAAAAATAAGTAACACGGTTATTTTTAAATAAAAGTCTTGCTTTCTCACCATCTGATTCCTTTTAGACACATCTTCCTTTACTCAGGTTTGAGACTAATTATTTGAGACCTGGAGCAGATGTTGGGATGTCACTGGGGCAGGTACAAACCCTGGGTTTGCCGCACCGCTGAGGAGCAATTATGGCTAATTGGGTTGGCACGTTGGGAGGCTCGGTGTAATTAAATGCAAACGGTCTGATCTGGATCAAGGGCCAGCCCTGCCTGATGCCGGACAAGCTGCTGGTGTTTGGTGAAGAGCTGCCGCTCTCCCCGGCCAGGGACAGGCAAGGACGTGTGTCTGCCCAGCCCCAGGACCCGCCTTCTCGTAGAGGCCGGGTCTTCCCGGGGTCTCCGCCTGATGTCAGTTACCGAAGCCTCAGTGTCTGCGGGCCCCTCCCTGGGCCGGTTCACTAAGAGCCTTGGCAATCTGGTTTTGAATACCAGGAGGATTTTAATGAGGTTCTAGGTATCTAATCCCTACGGGATTAGCACCAGTAACAAGATTTAGGGCTCTAATCCTGCTGCAGCTTCTTAAAGCCACGATGAAATATGAGACACCAACCTGGCCTGAGCGAGATGAGGGCGACAGGGCCACCTTGGAGAGGCAACCAGCTGGGAAGAGGAAAGTCCTTTTTCCTCAAGCTCCCCCCCAAACAAAGGCAGAGTTAAGGCTGCCCGAAAACCACTGTTTCAAATGTCACTAACATGACTAAGTAGGTTCCGAGGCAAGGGCCTGGAGACGGCTGTTCCGTGTGGCTGGAGACTTTGAGTCATCGCTGTGTCCTGCACACCAGGCCTGGGCCTGGCACAGGGGTGTGTCACCAACGTGAGCTGGGTAAGAGGGGCGTCTGAATCATGGGGCGTGAGAGCACACCAAGACCTCGGAATGAGACTGCACTTGGAGAAAGGGCCTTTAAGATGATGACGTTAAAATGGGGTTGTTAGGGTGGGCCTAACCCAATATGACTGGTGTCTTTTTAAAAAGAGATTAGGCCCTAGCTGGTTTGGTTCAGTGGATAGGGCGTCGGCCTGTGGACTGAAGGGTCCCAGGTTTGATTCCAGTCAAGGGCACATGCCCGGGGGGGCGTGCAGGAGGCAGCTGATCAATGATTCTCTCTCATCATTGATGTTTCTCTCTCTCTCCCTCCCTCTCCCTTCCTCTCTGAAATCAATAAAAACATATTTTAAAAAATTAATCATGACATTAGGTGCAGAAACAAAAGCCGACTCCCTCCCCCCGCCTTCAGTTTCTGCCCCTGTGAGATGGGGTGGTTCAGGGCCCGTCTGTGTGTCCCACCGTCTCTCTCTCTTTTTTTTTTTTTTAAATATATTTTATTGATTTTTTTACAGAGAGGAAGGGAGAGGGATAGAGAGTCAGAAACATCGATGAGAGAGAAACATTGATCAGCTGCCTCCTGCACACCCCCCACTGGGGATGTGCCCGCAACCAAGGTACATGCCCTTGACTGGAATCGAACCTGGGACCCTTCAGTCCACAGGTGGCTGACGCTCTAGCCACTGAGCCAAACCGGCCAGGGCTGTGCCACCGTCTCTTGAAGACTGGCACAAATTCTACACTGAGAAGAGGCAGGCGGGAGTCACAGCGCACTCGCAGTGGGGACAGAAACCAGGAGACCCAGGTGCCTTGGCCCCTGCTTACTCACCGTAGGTGAACATGCGTGGCGAGGTCAGTTCAATGTTGGGCAGGGCGCCCAGGTGGTTGAGCACAGCGCACCGGTAGCCATTTTTCTGGGCGTAGTCAACAAAGGTTCGGATGTACTGCTTCTCGCTGTGGTTGGCGATCCCAGGACAGATGACCATGGTGATGTCATCTGCAGGGTGGCGAGAGAGATCCCAGTATATCCATAAATAATCAGCGACACAATAAATCAGGACACGATTACACGTCACTGGCTTAGAAAACAGTAGGAGGAAATTTAACACACATCCTCTCCCTCAATTCTCTGGGAAAGGATATTTTTCCCTTCTAGCTGGAGCTGCCTCTCAAACTGTTTATGGGGAAGGGCAAGTTTTTAAAATGGCCAATCTGTCATGGACAGACACTTTTGAAATATACAATAAAAATTGTTTACTAGAAAAATGAAGTGAAAGAAAAACCCCACACATAAATCTCAATTTTTTATTATTAGACTCAATAGATATAAAACTATTCTGCCAAGTTGCTAAACAAGTTTCTGAACATTAATTTTTAAAAAATGTATATATTTTTATTGATTTCAGAGAGGAAGGGAGAGGGAGAGAGAGATAGAAACATCAATGATGAGAGAGAGAATCATTGATTGGCTGCCTCCTGCACGCCCCACACTGAGCATCAAGCCTGCAGCCTGGGCATGTGCCGTTGACGGGAATTGAACCTGGGACCTTTCAGTCCGCAGGCCAACGCTCTATCCACTGAGCCAAACCAGTTAGGGCTGAACATTACTCTTAATTTCTGTACGAAATTCTGTATGAATGAACAAATGATCGAATGATTTGCACAGACCTCTTTGATCCAACAACTTTTCTTGCAGGTATTCATCCTAAATATACACTTGTACATTTGCCAAACAATGAATGTACAGTGTAGACTTCTAGTGACAAGAGAAAATACTTATAATGTCTACTAATTCAAATTTTGGAAAAACAATGTACAGAATGGGAATAAATAAAATGTTAACAATGGTATGCTGGGTGGTGGGATTATAGGTGATTCGTGCTTTCTTTCAAAAATGTTTCTGTATTGCTCTAGTCGGTTTTGCTCAGTGATTAAGAGCATCAACACTTGGACTGAGGGTCACGGGTTCGATTCCCAGTCAAGGGCACGTACCTCAGTTATAGGCTTGATCCCTGGCTCTGGTCGCAGTCAAGGGCACATACCTCGGTTACAGGCTTGATCCCTGGCTCTGGTCAGGGCACGTGTGGGAGCCAACCAATTGATGTGCCTCTCTCACATTGATGTTTCTCTCTCTGTCTGCTCCCCTTCCCTCCCAATCTCTCCAAAAAAAAAAAAGTTTCTGTATTATCTAAACTTTCTAAAATGAGTATTTATTCCTTTTGTAGATAAAAATCAGAAACAAATCATAAAAGGAAACATGGGCTGTTTTTCTTAGAGCATTTCTTGGATGGGAATTCTCTCTTCCCCAGACCCACCGCCATCCACCCTTTGTGGGGACAGGGGTGATAGAAGGACATGAATGAGTAAAGCAAAGAATCTAAGTGCTTCCCTTTTCCACTTTCCTCCTCCGTCCAGGGGGAAAGAGCAGGCTGGTTAAATTACATTTGGTGCTTTCTTGGTAGAAGAAGTAGGAGTATTAGAAACAAGAGAGAAAAACATGTCAGTGGGCATGGCAGAGACATAAATATTTGAAAGATCAGCTGGGAGACTTACAAACACAAGGTGAACTCCTAACCTATCATTTATTCATTCCTTCTGCGACTGTTTATTGGGAATCTGCCGCCTGGACTCAGGGGCGTCGTACATTCCGGCAGACAGATAATAAACAACCACACAAATAAGTTTAGAGAGTGGCAGGTGCCCTCCAGCACTGACGTGGGAAGGCATGAGGGATTTCCTGGGAAGGAAACACTCATTAGGGGAGGCAGGGACCGTGCCTCTGAGGAGAGGGCATTGGAGCTGAGACCTGAATGACAAAAGGAGGCAGCCACGTGCAAGTCTGGCGACGAGCCTTTCAGACAGAGGGACCATAAAGTAACCTTTCGTCACTAGCTACTCAGCAGTTCTTTTACTTTAAGTAATTGAGAGTTATAGTGTGTTTAATCTACCCATAAATTTTTTAAAAGTATATTTTTATTGTTTTCAGAGAGGAAGGGAGAGGGAGAAAGAGAAACATCCATGATGAGAATCATGGATCGGCTGCTCATGCACGCCCCCCACTGGGGATCGAGCCCGAAACCCGGGCATGTGCCCTGACCGGGAATCGAATCATGACCTCCTGGTTCATAGGTTGATGCTCAACCACTGAGCCACGCCTGCCAGGCCACCCATAAATATTGCTCGAGCTTTTATAAAACAAAACTGGGTGCCTCTGCACACTACAGAACTCAAAAGACATGTTCTCTTCCGGCCGGAATGGCATTCAGATGGGGCTGCCATCTAACTCCACTTCCTCCAAGCCCTCACTGTGAAGCATTTTATGAGTATTCATTGTGCAGCTGGACAGAGCAATGGAAATAAGAGGAGTCTGTGAGAAACAGGCATCCCAGGCCCCTCCCTGATACATAGACCTTAATGTGTCTTATTGTGCATGGAAACCTAAGGGGTACCTGGGAGCCTTTATCTGCTGCTTTCCAACCAACACCACCAGCCTACACTGCGTCTCTAAGCTTCAGCTCCGCCATCAGTAACGTAGGGACAATAAGGCTCCCACCTGCTGAGGATTAAATGAGATGATAGCACATATAAAGCACGTACGACAGCTCGGCTTCTGCTGCTGTCATCAAGCCAGAGGCCTGGTCCTGGGGAGCATGGGCTCCGAGTTCTCCCTCATCCCTTTGCACCAAGCTCTGTCTCTCACAAGAGGATTAGAAACTGCGAGCTGTACATGGTGACCGGCTCCAGGCGGACGTAAGCCTTGCCAGGTGCTCCCACGTGATGTATCTCAGCAGATTTCTTACCAGGCCCTGGATGCGATGCCTGGTAAGAGCGGTAGCAGGAGTGTGTGTGCACACAGTGCTCCCTCACTGACGAGTGCTCCTTCTCTGAGTGATGGCCAGATCCTACGACCTACACTCGCTCACCTCCAACACAATGCTCAGCCAAGGGCTCGAAGAGGTCGAAGGTCGAAGTGGCGCCATCGGACATGGTGATGAACTTCCGGTGCCCATACGGGTGTGGCGACCTCACCCTGCCCATCTTCCCATACAAAGCTGTTTGGATGTGTCCACTTTTCCCCCAGATCAGTGGCGGAATGTATCTAAGAAAGAAGGAGACGAGAGGTCAATTTTCTCCACATTCCTTGAATAATGCTCTCAAAAACCTTTGAGCAAAAGTCTTTAAAACGATTTAAGATTTTTCCGGACAAATTCTGTACACTAAACATAAATGAGATTTTTTAAAACCTTAATCCATGCCAGCGGGCACATCCCCAGTGCGGGGTGTGCAGGAGGCAGCTGATCGATGTTTCTCTCTCATCGATGTTTCTAACTCTCTGTCTCTCTCCCTTCCTCTCTGTAAAAAATCAATAAAATATATTTTTAAAAAAAAAGATTTTTCCGGACAAATTCTGTACACTAAACATAAATGAGATTTTTTAAAACCTTACATCCATGCCATGATTTACCCCCTCCCCCATTTATTAATACATCCTGCATCAGATTAGCTTTAGAAATCAGCCAGGACATGCTTATCTGGACGGGATTTCAAATTTAGGGTGTTCAGTAATTCAACATAGAATTTCCATAACGTAGAATAAAAAGAATAAAAAGAACATTTGATACATTATAAACAAGTGCTACGTGACAGGGTCAGCCTCCTTATCAAATGAGCGAATGTACATAAAGCAGTAGCACAGAGCCCACACTCACTAATGCTCACTTCTTTGCTCCCCTAACACCACAGTCCACGGCTGCAGCGGTTACTCCTTTCACCAAACCTGCTCTGTTACACTGGAAAGGGCTGCAAACTCTTCTAAGAGCCTGTGAGTGCCTGGGGCGCGTGTGTCGGGGGTGGGAGGGCATTGTAAGACCCACAGAATGCACTGGAAGAGCAGAGCAATGTAAATATTGGTTGAACTGTTGAAGGATAAAGGCTGGTTAGCCTACCCAAGGCATGACGCCACCTTAACAACTGTCCTTCGTGAAAACTTGGAGTGACTGGTCCTTGGGTAGAAAGCTCAAAACCCACAAGCTAATGACTGGGAAAACGAGACACTCCACATGGCATTTAGGAAATGTTTACATTTCACAACCACAGTGCAAGAGGATCCCATTTACTGAAAAGGCTACTGGTTTCTCTTCTGCAGCTTTGAGCCCAAGCGCGATGGCTGGCCAGGGTTTATGTGTGTGTTTTTTTAAATATATATTTTATTGATTTTTTTAGAGAGAGGAAGGGAAAGGGATAGAGAGTTAGAAACATCAATCAGCTGCCTCCTGCACACCCCCTACTGGGGATGTGCCCTTGACCGGAATCGAACCTGGGATCCTTGAGTCCGCAGGCTGATGCTCTATCCACTGAGCCAAACTGGTTAGAGCAGGGTTTATGTTTTATATAAACTAGATCCCTATATCATAAAATGGTAATGACACCAATCCTTCATCTCTGCATTGTATCCCAGTGGTGGGCATTCTATCAACAGTTTGCCTTAACCTATTTGTCAATTCATGCCATCACTTCCATCAGGCCAGATGATCCCAGAATTCCTTCTTTAAAATAAATTGTATTTATATACATATATATATTTTATTGTTTTCAGAGAGGAAGGGAGAGGGACAGAGAGAGACAAACATCAATGATGAGAGAGAATCATTGATCGGCTGCCTCCTGCACATCCCCCACTGGGGATCGAGCCCGCAACCTGGGCATCTGCCCTGACCAGGAATGTAACCGCAACCTCCTGGTTCATAGGTTGATGTTCAACCACTGAACCGTGCCGGCTGGGCCTAGAAACTCTTCTTAAATTAAACCTGGTTTGCTCCTTTTTTTTTTTTGGTAATTCATTAAATCTACACAAACTTAAGAGATGTGAAGCTATCACCTGAAGCAAGTCAGTTCCCAGAGGAGCTTCCTCTTTGGGGATGGGGAGGAGAGGGAAGAGTATTTTAAGACCCAAGAACATGAAGCCACTTGCCAACATGAAGCCACTGACCACAGGTCCAAATCTCAGAGCAGAAACCACGGCGTTAGGAAAGCAGATGAAGGCATTTATAAGAGACTAGAGGCCTGGTGCACGAATTCGTGCATGGGTGGGGTCCCTCGGCCTGGCCGGCAATTGGGGCCATCAGGGCCATCTCGTCTAGTCCCCATTGGGGCTGATTGGGGCCGGCCAGCCGGGGCGAGGGACAGTGGGAGGTTGGTCAGCCACGGGAGGTTGGGAGAGCACTGACCACCAGGGGGCAGCTTCTGCATTAAGTATCTGCCCCCTGGTGGTCAGTGTGCATCATAGCGACTAGTCGACAGGTCATAACAATTGCTTAGGCTTTTATATATAGAGATACTGACAAAATAATATGCACCCTAACAATGTGAATTCGGCTGTAGCATGATTGGAGTCTGGCTACTGTGTTCTTTCAGGCTATTTAGCATCATTTTCAGACTGAATTAAAATTGACTGGGATAAAATTGTCAAGATATGTACATACACGCATGTGTATGTGTGTGTGTGTGTGTGTGTGTGTGTGTGTGTGTCTCTAAGCAACTGCCTCGGGATCCCGAGACCTTCTCAGTTCAGCTGTGCACAGTGGAAGTTAAACAATCTTTAGTTTTATGACAATTACCACCTACTGATCAAACACTGCTTTTTATTTTTAATTTTTTAAAAATATATTTTATTGATTTTTTTACAGAGACGAAGAGAGAGGGATAGAGAGTTAGAAACATCGATGAGAGAGAAACATCGATCAGCTGCCTTCTGCACACCCCCTACCTAGGATGTGCCTGCAGCCAAGGTATATGCCCTTGACCGGAATCGAACCTGGGACCCTTCAGTCTTCAGGCTGATGCTCTATCCACTGAGCCAAACCAGTCATGGCAACACTGCTTTTTAACTGACTTCCCAGTAACACACCACCAGGGTTTACAAAATTGAAACTGTGGGCAGCCTTTACTGTGGTGGGGCTTTTCGGTGTTTATGTAACTCATCCACGTACCAAAAAAGTTGCAAAAAAAACCACCCAGAATCGGTGCCTAGGCACCTGGCCTAGTTAAGGGAGGAAATATGGGCCAAAACAATGAAAAACTTAGAAATGTATATAAACACACAAGCACTTAAGAGATGCCACAGAAAAGGTACATGGAGGAATATGCTTTACTCTAACTACCTGCGTGGTAGTTGTCTGAAAACATAGCTGCCAAGTTCCACCTATTCCTGTCCCCACAGGCTGTTCGTTCCCACGGGACCTAGAAACCTCCCCACCCTGCATGAGCGCAGGCTGCCTGCGACTGGTTTGGGCTCGCAGAGTGTGTGGTGGAAGGAATGCGGTCAGATCTGGGCCTGGCCTTTCTCAGGCCTGGAGGCCTGGCGGCTTGTTGTACCTCCCGGGCCTGGCACCATGCTGGAAAGAGGCGGGGACTCATTACCCTGAGGTAGTAAGGAGTGGGCCTGGAGCATGTGAATGGAACTGAGAGCTATGTACATTTCACATTGTAGAGGACCACGAAATCGCCTCTCTCAAAAGACAGAGCAATCACCCGGCCGGTGTGGCTCAGTAGTTGAGTGTCGACCTATGAACCAGGAGGTCACGGTTCGATTCCCAGTCAGGGCACATGCCCAGGTTGTGGGCGTGATCCCCAGTGTGGGGCATGCAGGAGGCAGCCAATCAGTGATTCTCTCTCATCACTGATGTTTCTATCTCTCTCTCTCCCTCTCCCTTCCTCTCTGAAATCAATAAAAATATTTTTTTTAGAAAAAGATAGACTAATCGACACTCCCACCAATTATGCATGAAAGTACCTGTTGTTTTCTTCACCCTCATCAGTAATTGGTGTTATCAATCTTTTACTTTTTGGCCACTTTGATAAGCCAAAAAATGGGTATTTTATTTCAATTCGTATTTCTTAAGTTTGACCCAATCTATGGTGAAAACAGTTTCTTATTTGCATTTCCCTGATTCATATATTTATTAATTATTTGTATTTCTTTTGTGAATTGTCTGTCCATGTACTTTGTCCATTTTTTTCCTTTTGATTTGTAGGTATTGTTTTATCACCTCTACAGGAAGTCATTATATATTATGTTGCGAAGGTTTCCGCCCAGTCTATCGTATATCTTCATTTTTATCTTTTGTCTTATATAACTTTTATATAGTGTCTAAATTTGTTAGTGTTTTTCTAGTAAAACCTTTGTGTTTTGCACTTCGTTTTAAAAAGAGCTATCCTAACACCCAATTATAAATATATTCCCCAACATTTTCTTCTATTACTCCTGCCATCTTTAAAAATATATTGCCCTAAATCCACTTATTTCTGTAAAGGATGAGAAGTAAATGAATTTTTTCCCTAACAGTTACCTACCTGTCCTTCCACCATAAATGGCCCATCCTTTCACTGCTGATTTCAACTGTCACTTTAAATACATATCAAGCTTCTACCCTACCTGGTTTGGCTCAGTGGATAGAATGTCGGCCTGTGGACCGAAGGGTCCCAGGTTCAATTCTGGTCAAGGGCATGTACCTCAGTTGCAGGCTCCTCCCCGGCCCTGATCGGGGCACATGCAGGAGGCAACCAATTGATGTGTTTCTCTTACATCGATGTTTCTCTCTGTCTTTCCCTCTCTTTTCCACTCTCTAAAAAAACAAACAAACAAACAAAATATATATATATGTCAAGTTTCCAATGAAATATTTAGACTTGTTCCCATATCTCTATTCTGGTCCATTGATCTATTTGTCTATTCTTGTGTCATATGACACTGTTTTCATTACCACAGCTCCATGGAATATTTTGAGAGCTGATAGTGCAGGCCTCCTCCACTCTTTTTCAAACTTTCTTGGCAGATTTTTGGCATTTTATTTTCCAGGTGAACTATAGGAGCAGCTTGTTCTATGGAAATCTTGGGGTTTTTAATTGGAAACACAATCTGCCTTGGGGAAAACTGACATCTATACAATTTTGACTTGTCTCACTCGAGAGCAGGGGCACTTACGTCCTACAGTAAGACTTTATAGCTTGCTGCATGTGTCAATGCTGTTTTTACTACACTAATTTGCATGTACTTCACGTTGTGTGTGTGTGTGTGTGTGTGTGTGTGTGTGTGTGTGT